CGGGATAAATAAAGTCTTACCTATCTATATTCTGACTAGATATTAGACAAATATACTTGGTTTTAAGATTTGCAAGATTTCGAGTTTTTGTAGTGCATATCTTTTTATTGCATTAATGTGATTCATGCCAAACGTACTGTATAGTCTCTCAGAGTGTCATTATCATCATATATGTACATACAAGAGAATGTGAAATATGTATTGATTTACTGTTTACTTAAGAAAAATATTTTTGCACACCTGCAGAAATGATCCCAAAAACAATAAAGCACTTACAATATATGTCAAGGATGTCTGTTATTTTCTTTATTATTAAGAGTCATGTTAGATGCATCAATATACTTTTTTTTGTCATGGTTCATTCAGAGTTTGTTTATGGGGCCGTTCATTGGTCCAATCTTAGTGCTCTATTAATAGTTGTCGAAGGTACTTGTTTGTTGTAACTTGGTTGCTATATTAAGATTGTTAAACTCTTCCCTGTTGTTTTAGGACAAGTAAAGCACTCTCAGTGATGACGCTAGGTGTTGTTTTTGGATTATCTCATCGTGAAGGACTTCTTGTATTTGCCAAGCAAAGACAACAATAATCTGCTGACAGTCAAATCTGTGTCCAAGTCTTAACATTGAGTGTCAATCATGATGAAGTCCAAGCTATGCATGTCCCCCAAATAACTCATGCAGCAATAATGAAGCAACACCAAAATGTTGAAAATGAACCTCAGCTCCTATAATATTTCTAGAGTAAATACAAATAAAAGAAAACAGACACCTTAATTTTCCCATTGAACCAACACACATACACACAATGATTCAATGTATTATAAAAGCCTAGCAATCTAGGGCCTAGTGACCTATATATAAAAGTGTCTTATGTATCAAATCAAAGCACTTCCATAGTATTTACATCTTTATGCTCTTGCATCGCAGGATTTGAGTTTTGGTAGCCTAAGCTTTGTAGATAATAATTACCTGTGTTACTCAGTGAGGTCAAATGTGAACCAAAACCTAAGTCACTACATTTCTTTTTAACGTTTTTAAATACTTGGATCAGGAGGGAAAGAGAGGGAACTTTTTTTGCTGAAACTTTCTGAGTCTCTTAACACACAAGGGAGACATATATATGTATCAAAGACATTAAAAAGTGCATTTTGCATAATAGGGAACCTTTAAATGATTGTGTTGTTCAATTGAGATCACATCACATGTGGCGTTTCTCGAGTTATTTTACATTATATAATTACAGGTTCATCTTTTAAGCTCAAAGTTTTGTTCAAGAGTCCAAGAATATTTGACCAGCTTGTATGAAATGAACACATTTGATAGAAACAACAATAACAAAAATAATGGGATTGAACGTGTACAGTGAGACAAATATAAAAACACCAAGAACTATAAATACATACATCTTCTATTTCATACCATGGGTTATTTTATTTATGGAATTCAGTGTTGATTAAAACATAAAATGAATAGATACCAGACTTTTAGTAACCAACATGTCATACAGTAATGAATATATACTGTATATGTTTACACAGTGATACACACGTAATAATTAACATTTTTATTTTTAAATCAAGTCTTTTTAAATCCTAATTGTAATCCTACTTGTATTATGAAAATGAGTTGCAGGCGAACTTGAGCTCCAGGAGAAAACCCTAAATATGAATGTTCATGACCTCAGTTTTCTTCATATTTACTGCCAGTACTTTTGTACTATGTGCAGCTGTTGTTGTATTTTTTCAGTCTGAGACAGTAGAGAGCACCATCATCAGCATAAAGCAGAAACTTCACCTCATTATAGAGAGACCAGCAGCAGCACATTGCTCCAACCCAACAAGATTTAATTCATATATACATTAAATAACGTTTACATTTAAACCCTGAGCTTTGAATACTTTAACAGCTCTTATGAAATCATCACATTTTTTGAAAAACAACAAAAACAAAACAATGTAATTGAACCCAAAAGTAGAAACACCAAGAACAATCTGTACAAAAATATTCTATTGTTGTTGTATTTATTAAATTCAAAGTTGTTTAAATCACAAATAGAACAGATATCGGTACTTTAGTAACCAAAATGTCATAAAGTAATGAATATAAACTGTATACGTTTACACAGTGAGGCATACACATAATACATTTAATTAACATTTTATTTTAAAATCAATTCTAAACACAACTAAAAAACACTAAATATGAAAATGGGAAGGAAGGGGGGGGGGGGGGGGGGGGAGTGATGTAGGAAGAAAGAGGTGAGGGAAATGGAGGAGAGAGTTTGGGGTGAAGTGAGGGGAGAGTATGGAGGAAGTAAGTAAATAAAGGATGGAGTAAGGTGAGAGAGGGTGAGGTAGCAGGAAGTAGGTACAGTTAATGGGGGAGGGACTTAATAGTGAGTTTTTTTACATCTATTATACAGATTGTGGGAAAACCTGAGCTCCAGGAAAAACCCTTGAGTATGAAAAGGGGAAGGCAGTAGGGGGTGAGGTAGGAGGAAGGAGGTGAGGGGAAATGGAGGAGAGAAAGAAGAGAGGAAAAGGCAGCTACTGATGTCCAGCCATCTCCTTCTCTTGCATCTTGCGTAGCATTTTCTGCAAAATGACGTCCCTTTCCTCAGTCATCCTCCTGCGAGCGAATAATCCTCTGCTCTTATTCTTCATGTGAAGACAGAGGTCCTCCAGAAGTGTCTTTTCGTCCTCCATCTTCTTCTCTTTGGCCTCCCAGCTCAGTCGCGTCTGAGCGAGGTCGTCCTTCTCGTCCTTCACCTGTTTCAGTTGAGTCTCCATCAGATGAACCTTGGTCTCCCAGCTCTGGAGTTTCTGGGTCAGTTGTTCTGAGAACTCTTGCATCTGGTCTTTAAGCGGCTTGACATCCGTCTCCCAGCTTCTTTTTATCTTGGCCAAATGATTCTTTTGCTTCTCCACCTGTTTTAGCTGAGTCTCCCAGCTCTGGTGTTTTTTGGCCAAATCTTCAGAGAACTTGTTCTCCTGCTTATCCAGGTTATTCAGCAGCTGCTGGACTCTCATGTCCATCTGTTCGTCATTGCTCTGGTTTTTCTTGACCAGGTTCCTCATGGTTTCGTTGGCCTGTTCTAATTTTGCCTGAACCACTTTCAATTCATTCTTCCCGATCAGGTGTTTGTGAACCAGGTTGTAATTCTTCTTCTCTTCCTCTTGAAATTTGGTCTCCATCCAATGAACCTTGGTTTCCCAGCTCTGGTCTTCAAGCTGCTTGACATCCGTCTCCCAGCTTTTTTTGATCTTGGCCAAATGATTCTTTTGCTTCTCCACCTGTTTTAGCTGAGTCTCCCAGCTCTGGTGTTTTTCGGCCAAATCTTCAGAGAACTTTTTCTCTTGCTCATCCAAGTCGTTCTCCAGCTGCTTGACTTTCATGTCCTTCTGTTTGAAATCGAACTCCCAGCTCTTGTTTTCCTTGATCAGGATATTTATGAATTCCTTGACCTTTTCAAATTTTGGCTGAACCACTGTCTCCCCGATCAGCTTTTTCAGAACCAGGTTGTCCTTCTTCTCTTCCTCTTGAAATTTGGTCTCCTTCTCTCTCATCTGGTCTTCAAGCTGCTTGACATCCGTCTCCCAGCTTCTTTTTATCTTGCCCAAATGATTCTTTTGCTTCTCCACCTGTTTCAATTTGGCCTCCACCTGTTTAAACTCAGTCTCGAGGGTCAGGTTCTTCTTGGCCAGGTCGTCCTTTTCCTGAGACACCTTTTTTAGTTTGGTCTCCATCGGTTGTTGGTGTTCAGGGATCTTTTCTCCCTGCTTTTCCAACTGGAGCACCAGCTTTTGGACTTCCTTCTCCATTGCTTTGATTTTACAGGTCTGGTAAGTGTTGTTTCTCATCATCTGTTTAAATTTCAACTCCATCTTTTGTTTTTCCGTCTCCAAGGTGTGGTTTCTAGCGGCCTGGTAGTTTTTCTCGTCCACTACATACTGCATGTCTTGTTTTCCATTCTCCCATCTCTGTTGTATCTCGGCCAGGTCCTTGGTGGACTTGTCCGGGCTCTGAAGGAGTTCTTCCTCTCTTCTTTTCAGCAGGTTTATGGTCACCAGGTTCTCCTCCAGCTGCTGCTTGTGTTGAGCCTCTTTAGTTTCCATCTCCTCCTCCAGAGCGCTGTATCTTTCCTCCCAGACTGTCACACACTTAAGGAGTTCATCTCCTCTCATCACCAGCAGTTTTACGGACTCTGCGTCAAACTGCAGGAGACTCTCATCGTTCTGGATGTCGGATGTCTCCATGTTGCTCTGGTCTGACATTGTTCCCTCCATGGCACTGTCTGTGGACTTGTGTTGTGTGTAGGGATAAAAATCTATGTGTCTACGTGATACGTGTTTTGTCTAAAAAACTGTAAAGTTTGTTTGCTCTGACTGAATATGTGTACCACTCACCGCTCTGAACTGAACAACTGAATGAGATGACTGGAACCCAGAGCTCTTGCTATGCCAAGATCTAAGCCACCTGTGATGTCATGTGATGATGTCACAGATTCTACTCTCAACTGTGATGTCATTCCGTTAGGGTCACATGTGATTCCGTTAGGGTCACATGTGATTCCGTTAAGGTCACATGTGATTCCGTTAAGGTCACATGTGATTCCGTTAAGTTCACATGTGATTCCGTTAAGTTCACATGTGATTTCGTAGTAAATGCAATTAATTTGTCCCACTTTATGACTTTATAAGCAGAATAAATGTTGTGCTTTAAGGTCTTTACAGTTACACAATGCAAATATTTAATTTTATTAATTTTATTTATGTTGTTTTGAGTTAAAGGTCAAGGCCTCTTTGTAAGCACACATGTTTTTTCTGTTTTTATTCATACAAAAATATAATTATGTATTATAAGTGCATTATTTGTGTGTTTGTTTCTACTTAGACACACTTAAAAAATACTAATATTATATACAGATTACTAGATTTAAAAAATAATAATCTTAATTTAAAAAATAACAACAAAAAAAAATGTGTGATGCTTTTGGGCAAAACCTAATAACTGAATGCCTCCTTTATTGCTGACAGGATTTCATGATTTCATGACTTTATAAGCCCTATAAATGTTTGTGTTTCGAATACTTTACAGTTACACAATGCAAATATTTAACTTTCATACATTTTCTCTATATTTTTTTTAACTCAATGGTAACAAACCTCTTTGATAGCACAAGTGTCTTTTCTGTTAGTCTTTCATTTTTGTAATTATTTCAAGGATAAGAACTTTGGGTTCTAGCATTCCCAGACCATTTACATGCACAAAAACCTATAACACACTACAGGAAAGGGAAAACCCCCCAAATCAGAATAAGGCCTCATATATAGACATTACAATTATAACTTAACGATAGTTTATATATACAGTCTATGATTGCGACACATGCCTGTATAAAACAAGTGAGAGATGGCTCTTCTGTGATTTCAGTGCTACACATATGATTTCACCATGATGGATCTGGTAACGTTTGAGAAGGAGAACTGTGAGCGTATCCAAGCCGTTGAGACTTCATTCGGCCCGGCAGGGAGGCCTCTATCCCAGCCAGGGAGAGTTCTGGTGGGTCAGGGTTGTCTCACAAAGCAAGGGCGTAGGAAGCCAGAGCCTAAAGTTTTCTTTCTGTTCAACGACATGCTGGTGTACGGCAGCATCATCCTGAACGGCCGCTGGCACAAAAAACAGAAAGTCATCCCTCTAGGTAAGCAGAACCCTAGATCTAGTCCGACAGATTCAAAAGATTTGATTAAAAGGTTTTATTGTCATATGAACAAAGCTACAGTGGAGAAATGGCAATGAAATTCTTCTGAGCTGAGCTCCTCCAACAATGCAACATGTATAATAAAATACAAAAATACAAAATAAAAAGTAGTGCATTTAGTCTATATCTAGATAACGATGATATGATGGTATGTATACCTCCGTAGAAGCTTTAGTGATGAAGTATTCTTTTTTTTTTTTGCCTTGTTGTAACTTTATATTCACGTGCAATATATATCTGCAACAGCAAAACAATGGAGGTGCATGGAATTTGCGAAAAGTATGATGCACAAAACAATGACAACTTATCTACATGCTACCTCAAGAGCAAATTGCAGTTCGCCAATTCTGGAAATACCGATTACATTTGAGCTTGGTCAATGTTGTTCTACAGTTCTACATTGTAGAAATGTTTTCCAGAAAAAGACAGCAATACAACCCTTTTATGGAGGAAATAAAAAAAAGCATATCTTCATTTACTATTAGTGTAAATAAGTGTGGATAAAAGAACAGTTTCTTTTAAAACACAGGGGGATGATGGAAATACCAATTACATTTGAGTTTGGTCAATGTACTTTTTTAATGTTTGAAACACTTTCTGTTTAACTGTGTTGTATTGATGCACCTGAAGAAGTTTCAAAAGTTGTTATCCCAAAGCCTTTAAAATTATATTATCAGTATAGCTGAATACCACATGGATAAAGTCAGAAAATATATTTATTTAACAGCAATCAACTCAACTAAAATGACAAATATCCGCCTCAAGTCTTTCTGGACAAGCGTGTTGACCACGCCATAGTATCCATGTGTTTTTTGGACTGTTAACAATATCTTCCCTGTCATTCCAGAGGACATCATGCTAGAGGACCTGGAAGACAAGGAGGGATTGAGTAACAAATGGCTGGTCCGTATACCATGCAAGTCGTTTTTTGTGTCCGCAGATTCGCTCGAAGACAAGCAGGCCTGGATGGAGCTCATTGGAAACTGCCCGTTAAATCTTCTGCAGCGGCGTGGCAGCCAACACGGATCCACTTTTGAGCCGCCTATAAATGTATGCGCTGCTTCAACAACTTCACTCACATCAAACGCCGACACCACTGCCGGAAATTTGGCTTTTTGGTCTGCAATGCATGCTCCAAGCAGCGAGCAGTGATAGACCACATTCACATGCTACAGTGTAGTTATGGCAATGGAAATCTTAGGTCACAGGCTCCTAGCAGGAAATAAAGCTTGTTCAAGGTTTGTGTGAATACCTTTGTCAGTTAGTGACGGATGCATCTACACAAAGAAAATATCACATTTCACACTCTCTACAGGGCAAACAATTGGGGGAGGGGTAGACACATAGACACACACACACACACACACACACACACACACACACACACACACACACACACACACACACACACACACACACACACACACACACACACACACACACACACACACACACACACTCACACACACTCACTCACACACACACACACACACACACACACACACACACACACACACACACACTCACACACACTCACTCACACACACACACACACACACACACACACACACACACACACAGGGCACACAAATACACAAATGTAGATATGTTAAAATCACAGAGGTGTGTGTGTGTGTATAGACTTAAAACACTTGTACATGCTGGTAATATTAAGATGCATACTGCACACACACACTAACACACACACACACACACACACACACACACACACACACACACACACACACACACACACACACACAGACACACACACACACACACACACATACACACACACACACACACACTAACCTAAAACTTCTCCTTGTTCTTTGATTGCAAAGCCAGACAAATTATACTTTGTCCGTCAACCGATCACATTTCCCTTATGCCAGTTAGCCAATAAAGCTTTGTCGCAAAGTTTAAATGTGTTTGGACAGAAACAACTGTGGGATACAAAGACCCACACACACCCACATACACTCACACACACTCACACACACACACACACACACACACACACACACACACACACACACACACACACACACACACACGCACACACACACACACACACACACGCACACACACACACACACACACACACACACACACACACACACACACACACACACACACACACACACACACACACACACACACACACACACACACTTTGGGGAAACATCAGTGAGGACATACTGGAACTAGAAGAAACCACTTCTCAGATGTAGATCTCAAAGTTGCAACAAAGCACAGATAGGCCCACAGGAAGCAGCTGGTAAACGACAAGATGCTGAGCAGAGACCTTTTCACTGACTAACAGTAAACATAGCGAGAATACGTTAACATAGCAACAATAACCACCAACTCTGACGATAAAAATAGCTACAGTAGAATGACCATATTTCTGAAAAATAATAAAAAAGGTACTTAACTTCAGCGGTGCATACAGTATGTGCTGAAGTTTATATTGCACTTACTAAAAAGGTCACACACACACACACACACACACACCTGTTGTATGAGCCCCTAGGCCTAGAGAGAGAAAGAGAGGGGTTAAACAGGTGGAGATATATTTCACATGGCGACAATGTAAAGATTTTGTAGAATTGTTTTAAGCATAATTGCCAGGCAGCTAGATTGGCCATCCAGAACATTAAAGTATTAGACTCTAAAAATCTTTGCGTCCGAATAAATGGGAATTAAAGCAGCTTCATAAATGTTTGGCAGCGACTAATATATGAATTACGCTAAGATAAAGGTGAAAATAGTGGGAGTAGAACATTGGACTGGGATGCTCCATAAGACCTTCTCTACAAGTCACTCAATGAATGATTTTCATGTAAACTGAAGTGCTTCATGTTTGCATGACATATAAATCAAACAACAGCACCACCTAGCGGACACAGTCAGTCCTCTTGAGCTTTACACCATAGATTCCAGCGTAATTATCTTAAACTGTTGGCGTCACTTTGCTAGAAAAAGTGGTGGGGACCATTTTTGGTTTACATTACTTTTTTTAAAGTGCAGTGCTGCTGCACATTTGACATGTTCTATTAAAGGTTTAATAACATGTCCAAATGGCACATCTTGACACTAAACCAGTGTTCTTTCTGCACGCTATTTTTCTAAAACATTTCTAAGTTATACTTTTAAAAACTGATTGTTTGTTTGTAGCCTTTATTTAACCAGGTTAAAAAATCCCATTGAGATCAACGATCTCTTTTTCAAGGGAGACCTGCGGTACATTGGTTACACATAAAAACAACAGAAAACAAAAAGGACATCACAACATAATTGATGGGGACAAAATTGGCCATTTCAAAAAGTGGTGGGCACATGTCCCCAGCGTCCCCAGAGCAAACGACGCCTATGTGGCCCAATATAACTCGGTTTGTAATGATTGTGTATGGTACACCACTGTGGCATTGTTTGGCTCTGTTGTTTTCTTTGCACAAAAATCCTTAATAAATTATGTTTGTTTTAACTGAATTCTGTAGAGGAATCTTCAGAATCGGAATTATTTACTATTGAACTTGGTTTATTGACAAGAAGAGTTCCATTTACAAGGAGGTTGCTTTTGTGTATGCTACTGATGCAGAGACAAAAACATCAGATTATCACATATCATCAAAAACAAACCCACAACCAGTTTTAATAATATTGGCCCAGCTGGAATACATAGGAACAATAATAACTCAATAAATACATTTATTATGATTGTATTATTAAAAAGGCAGGTACATACTGCACAGGGTGACCAGGTCCCAACAAACCAAATGTGGGACAAGGAGGATGTTTGTGTGGGACAATGTGGGACACCCTCTCAACACCCCCCCCCCCCCCCCCCCCCCCCCCGTTGAAAATGTACGAGCGGTGATTATTTGCGGTACCGAGGTGGGCCGGTCGAGAGTCCCGGGCTGATTTGTAGTCCCAGTCCGCCGCTGCCCACGGGTAAATGTCTTCCCAGTCTTTGTTGTATGTGCATCTTCTTCTTTTCTTAGCTGTAGTTTCAGTTTCCTCCATTTTCCATAACCTGCTGCGTCGCCTGCGTTATTGACTTTCATTGTTGTTGTTTGGCGGGGCCGCGGCGGTGTGTGTGTGAGTGAGTTACTCTCATTGGTTAACACTTGACCAGCACGGGGGAAAGCATTGCAAAACTGGCCCCGGTAATGGTACAAATCTCAACCTGTCGTACAATGGACAGCTTCCCCCCCCCCATCTATGTATATACTCGCATTTTAGACTCTGTTACTAACTGTATATCTGTAGACTTGGTATGTCTTAAATGTCCGGTTAGGATGTATTAGAACGAAATCTAAAATGAAAATTGTAAATAAGCCATCTGTATGTAAAAAACCACCTGTATGTAAATTGTAAATAAGCCATCTGTATGTCAAATATGTCTTAAATGATATGATGAATTGGAAATGGGGGACCCTGATGTAAACAAGACGAAAGTCTTTCTCTGGTCTGCATCCCCTTAACAATTGTATGTTTTGAGCTGTACTGTACTGTACCCAATATACAAGCTGTTAATAAACTTTTCAATCAATCAATTCAATCAAGCACCCGCCGTGTCTTACAGTTTGATTGACAGCAAACACAGCTCCGTGATGATAGCCTTCCCTGCTTTCTCAACAGCCATTGGATAAATCTGATTTTAGAAAAGCGTTTTAGCCAATCAAAATGAAATATGCGGGACATTGTCTCAATTTGCGGGACGCACCAAAAGTCGTGAAAATGCTGTGCAGTCCCGCGCAAAGCGGGACATCTGGTCACCCTAATTACACATGTATTTTCTCCTTGTAGACTTACAGACACTCACACCGACGCACAAGACCACTCGTTTTACTCCAACACAGATCAGAGCATGACATTAGGTATTTTCAACAATGCAGACATTTTTTGGGTAACACTTTACAATAAGGTACACAAAATGTGCTTAGTTACTGCTTAGTTACTGAGGAACTACTAGGTAGTTAATGGTTAGTTAATGAGTAGTTCCTCAGGGACTGCGATTGAGGAACTGATGGTTAGTTACTGGTAAACAGACTGGGGGTACTGCATTAACGAATCATTCGTTAATGGTTAGTTAATGAGTAGTTCCTCAGTGAACTGATGGTTAGTTACTGGTAAACAGACTGGGGGGGTACTGTATTAACGAATCATTCGTTAATGGTTACTTAATGAGTAGTTCCTCAGTGACTTCGATGGATGGTTAGTTAGTTACTGGTAAACAGACTGGGGGTACTGTATTAATGAATCATTCGTTAATGGTTACTTAATGAGGAGTTCCTGGGAGACTTTCATTGAAGCAATGGTCCGCTGCAGCAGGGCACTTTTAAACCATCTTCGGCTGGCTTGGGTCCCACACTGGATCAACTGGTGGAGGTGGATCCGACTCACGTTTTACTGCTTAAGTCATCATTATTTACCTTACCATTACTTAGGCCGTTTGGGTACGGTAAACTCAAGGAACTCAAACAAAAAACAGTAGTTACCCATTACCTAATGCTTACTTGACCATTACAAAAACAGTAGTTACCCATTACCTAATGCTTACTTGACCATTCATTAAGCAGTATGTGTCCCCTCAAGTAAAGTAAGGCATCAAAAACAGTAGTTACCCATTACCTAATGCTTACTTGACCATTCATTAAGCAGTATGTGTCCCCTCAAGTAAAGTAAGGCATCAAAAACAGTAGTTACCTATTACCTAATGCTTACTTTACCATTCATTAAGCAGTAGTTACCCATTACCTAATGCTTACTTGACCATTACAAAAACAGTAGTTACCCATTACCTAATGCTTACTTGACCATTACAAAAACAGTAGTTACCCATTACCTAATGCTTACTTTACCATTACAAAAACAGTAGTTACCCATTACCTAATGCTTACTTGACCATTACAAAAACAGTAGTTACCCATTACCTAATGCTTACTTGACCATTCATTAAGCAGTATGTGTCCCCTCAAGTAAAGTAATGCATCAAAAACAGTAGTTACCTATTACCTAATGCTTACTTGACCATTCATTAAGCAGTAGTTACCCATTAACTAATGATTACCTCACCATTATTTAAGCAGTTTAACAAACAAACAAACCCTGTGCACTCAAGTTTACATTTTTATTTAAACAACAATCCAAAGCACACTAATAACAAAAAGGAGGTTGCTTTCAGAACTTGTAAAAGCGGCGTATGTCATGCAGCAATCTGCCTAAGGGACCATCTTTGTGTTTATTTGCCAGCCAATGTGTCCACTCGATGAAAGCAAGATGACTCTTCAGAGTCTTCTCTGTGCGGTTTCCTCGCAGTCTCCAGACCTGTGACTTGTATGTT